CAAGTGCCTCACCCCACTGCGCAGGCCTTGGGTCAGAGTTTCTCCTTATCCCATCTCCCTCAGGGATACCCACCCTTCTCCTCCTTGCTGAGAGGTTTCTCCTCTTTCCAAAGCCATTCAAAGCTCCCCTGCTGGCAGAAATTCAAAGAAATTCTTTGCTTGGGATTTCCCCTGAGGGTCAGAAGACTCTGTACTGATCCCAGCTTTACCAATCCCAGCTGTACCATGGGGTGCCCCCTAATCCCAGTCCAGTCTTTGTAACTTCTTCACCTGGAAAACAAGTGATGCACAGGGCAATATTTCTCTTTTTAAAATGCCTCAGGAGCTGTAGAGGCCTTAGCTCTGTGTCCCAGGTGGTGCCACTGGTGGCTCAGAGAGGAGTGAAAGGCAGCCCAGGATGGTTCTGTGAGGAAAGGTTCCAGTACCTTTTCCACCCATTATCCACAAATGCAAGGCCTTGGTAAATCCTCCCAAGAGCCACAGGTGGAAGGATCCAGTGGTGACAAACAGACAAGAGTATTGCTTACCTAACCCAGCACTCAGAATTCATTTTGGTTGATTTTCTGCTTCTGCAGAAAATGCAATTAAATCTAGAGTTGAAAGCTAATAGAAAACCTGTTCTTGGAGGTGTTTCTTCAGAGACTTCAGGAGTTTCAGGCTGGAACATTCCCTAAGGCCAGATCTATGCTGTTCCCTGCAAATATAATTTTTTTTTTATGACCTCAATAATTCTAAATTATTTCAGTAGCCATATCTATTAATGTTAAGTCTATTTTCCAAAACTGTACCATAATCTTGGCCTCAGGTGCATCTTGCAGCAGAGGGTTCTGTAGGTTGCATGGAAGATTGCTGGAATTAGAAGTTTGCTTTCCATGTAAAATATTGGAATTCAGTGAGCCAAGTTTAAAATGTATTTTTTGGACATTAAAAAGGAAGCTTAACAAGGCCATATCATTTGTTTGACTACTGAGGTTGGAGCAGATGACCCTACTGGTGTTCCCTTCCTTTGTTTCCAATCCCAATGAATCAACAGCACACAAAGAAATAAAACAGCCAAATGCTATGTAAAACCTATAAAAAAAGCTTGAAAAATGTCACTAAGTAAATTCAAATAATGCATAACTTAGAGGGAATTGCAACTGGTTCATGGATATTCTATGAGCAGAAGATAAACATCTAACTTAGTTGCATAAATTATTCATCATAACATATTTGCTCAGCTTTTCTTGTCAGCTGGGAAAGCCACACATCCAAGCACAGGGAGAGCAGAGCAGAGCTGGGCTTTCCCCTGCTGATGTGCCCTGGGAGCAGGGAGCCCTGGGGAGGGATGGCATCAATAACAGTTGGGTGGAAAAGTCTCCTTCGCTGTCATGCTTTAGAGGTGGATTCTGCTCAGGGTTCTTCTACTGCAAGAATGGGGCTGTGATTGTCCCTTGGCAGCAGGAAAGGCTGGAGATGTGACAGTGATTCCCTTTAAACTCCTGCTTTTGCCTCCTGCCAGTGGTGCCAAAGGGTGATGTTGGACCTGATGTAAGAAATGACCCCACTTTTCCTTTGGACACATTGTTTATCCAAATGTCATTTCCTTTCCTGCCTTCATTGCCCATCACTCCCCAGTCTGCCCTGACTGGAGGCGCTCCCAGGCTCTGGGTGCTGATGTACCATGGAATCCTGGAGTGCTTTGAGTCAGAAGGGACCTTAAAGCTCATCCCATTCCACCCCCTGCAATGGCAGGGACACCTTCCACTGTCCCACCCTGTCCATGGACACTTCCAGGGATCCAGGGGCAGCCACAGCTTCCCTGAAGGAGAACAGGGAGCAATACCCGACCAGCTGCACATTTCAACTCTTTGTTGCTAAATTATCTATTGCAAAGCAGCAAAACCAAACTCTCTGTACTTTATTGGGAACATGGAACATTCCCTCAGCCCTGTCTGAAAATGTGCTGGCTCTGGGGTGCTCTGGTCCCTCCTGACTTTATGGATACTGCAGGGAGCAGGAATCTGAATGTGTGCTTGAGTTTTACAGGAAGCAATGATTGTCTCTTTGGAGAGGAAGCACAGGTGGCATTCTTCCTGTGCTTGCTAGTTGTGATCTTTCTGATGGAACATGGGTGTGCCTATTTATTTATTATAAAACTTGCCTGTCTTCGAGCATCCAGCTCTGCCTCTTCCCATCAAGTGCAACTGCTGAAGGGACCATTCATTCCTCAAAGGGGATTTCAAGTGCTGGGATGGGAACTCTAATCTGGGATGATTGGTGGTGTCAGAGAGAAACTTTGTCTTTCCTTTAAAGTTTTATCTATCATTAAAATCAACTTCTACACAATTCTGGGACAGCAGAGAACACCCTCTGCTCCATGAAGGGAATGCATTGGTGATGTATTTGTTATCTGCAGACAACCTGTGAGCAAATGATCTGTTTCATCACTCCTTGTGTTAAGAACTCGTTGTATGAAGGGGGTTTTGCCTTTTGACTGAGGTTTTTCTAGGAAGGATGGATGTTTCTTCAGATTGCAAGGTTTGGCACTAATGACTCTTGTAATGTAGTAGGAGGTGTGTTTTGTTTTGGCATTTTCACTTGGCTTGTGAAAGCAAAGAACTACAGAGGGAGCATTAGCTCAGGTGTAAGGAGATATTTTGATGTAAATATCTGGCACTTTGCTATTTTGATGAATGTAACTGCTGTCAAGCAGCGTGGAGTGTTGTGAAGGGGCACAATCAAAATAAATACCTGCATAATTACATTAAGTCAAATAACCCAACACACGCAGAGTGGACTGAGTATAGAATCAACTTGGGCAGAAAACATCTGGTTTGTGCTCCTGGCCCTGCAGCTGAGTCTCTGAATGTGCCTGTGTGTCAGGGTCTCTGCCAGCCAGGTGGGGCTGGTGTGCTGGGAGGACACTCCCTGATGGGCAGTGCTGCCTCAGGGCCAGGGGTTGTCGTTCCTGCTTTGGACTGGGTGTTATGGATTACTCCAAACTAGCCACAGTGAGAGATTTTAACCCAGGATCCTGCTGGGAGTGCCAAGTCTGCCTGAAGGTTTCCAGTTAGTCTTTGCTGGGTTACAATGTGAGCTGGCTGCCTGCAGAGGGGACCCTGGCCCAGTTCATGCCTCAGAATCATACCTGTGCCATCTGGTCACCCAATCCTCAAATCCAACCCCAAATCCTTAATTCTGACCAGTGGTACCTTAACTTCTTACTGTTTTCACTGGGGCTGGCCTTCTTCTGAAGTGACTTCATTCTCTTGGAAGAGTCTCCTTGGGCCTTATCTTCATTCCACTTTTTTCTGCTGAATTCAGCTCATTCCTTGTTAGCAGCACTAATTTTCTCAAAGAAGTTTACTCTTTGAGTAAACTTCTTTCTGCTTTAGCTGCTACTGCTGAGCCACACTAATGCTAAACAAGATTATTCCCAGAGAACACTGTTATTAAATTTCTTCTGTAACACTGGGATAAAGTTAATTTTTTTTCCATAGAGGTTGGTATGGGGCTGTGCTGTGGATTTTGCTGGGAGCAGTGCTGATAGCACAGGTGTGCTGCTGAGCAGAGTTTGCACAGGTCAGGGCTCTGCTGCCTCTCATCCCACCCCACCAGGGATGAGGTTGGGATGCACAAGGAACTGTGGGGGGACAAAGCCTGGACAGCTGACCCCAGGGATATCCCACACCACAGGACATCCTGCTCAGCTTGTAGGAAAAGGAAAGGGGCATCTGCAGTGTGAGTTAGTTTATCTTCCCCAGCCACTCTGATTGAGCCCTGGAGATGGCTGAACTCCAGACTGGGATGGGCAATGGGGAATGAGCTCCTTGATTGGCTTTGATTGCCTGTGCAGCTTTTGCTTTATCTGCTGAACTGTTTATCTCAAGTCATGAGTTCTCTCACCCTTCTGACTCTCCTCCTCTCTAGGAGGAGTGAGTGGCTCTGTGGGGCTGAGCTGCCAGCTGGGATTAAACCACAACACCTATAATCTAAATAAAATATTTGTCTTAAACCCAAGTTACAGGAATGTGTGGATTAAAAGTGACAGAGAAGCCTGTGAGCTGATGGTCTGGGAGATAGCTGAAGATAGAGCAGGTGCATTGTAGGAGAATGGGTATAAATAACATCCTCTCCTTTAAGGAAGGCTTTGCTCAATATTTTTTGAAAGACATTAATAGGTTTCACATTTTTCAGGTGCTCAGCTGGTGATGTTTCAGAGGCCTGATTTTTAGATTGCAGGTGTGCAAGCTTTTCTCTAGGCATTTCCCTCTGTGTTGTTTTAAAATGGATGCCTGCAATAAAGAACTGCTTTTGCAAACATTAACTTTATTTTTTTCCCAGTTGCTCTCAGTTTAAAAGCATGGATTTGAGAATCACTTTGGGTTTTTTTTCCTAAAACATGAACAAAACCTCCACTTTCATCCTGGACTCTGCCTATATCTGAATCCATCCTTTTACATTGTTTATCTCAAAAATTGTTTTCCAAAATTCTCTTTTGCCATACTTACGGTGCTGAAAGATGAAGATGTTTGGAGAAAATGTATTTTCTTCAGCTTTGCTTTGCAAAAGTGCGCTAGGAAGGCTTGTGGGCATTAGAGATTTAGCAATGATCAGTTTGGGCTAGATCTGTGGTTGAGACCATTTGCTGACAGACACCAGACTTTGCTGCTTTATGGAGGAGTGAAAGACCCCAAAGTGTGGGAAGGTGAAGGAACCAGCTTGCTTTTATTTTCGGGCAGTCCAGCTCTCTGACAGACACCTCTGATGTCTCCAAGGGTGCCTCCTCACCAGCCTGACCCTTGTAGCATATGGTTATTGTGCAGTAATGTCTCACTTTTCCTCTTCTCCTCCCCATCCCCTCTGTCCAGCCTCGTGACCTCATGTGTGAATCCACATGGGGGGTGTCCAACAGCACTGGCCCCTTCTCCATCCTCCTCTCCTACCCCTGCCGACTCCCCCTGCCCCTCCAGACTGGGAGCCTCACCCCTGTTGTGTTTTCCTGTGTTGTGGCACAGGGAGTTTGCCCGTTGGAAGGTGAGGAACACAGCCATCGAGAGGAGGGACCTGCTCCACAACCCGCTGCCCCTGATGCCCGAGTTCCAGAGGAGCATCCGCCTGCTGGGCAGGAGACCCACCACGCAGCAGTTCATTGACACCATCATCAAAAAGTACGGCACCCACCTCCTCATCTCTGCCACCCTGGGAGGTAGGTGGCACCTGGGCTGGCTCTGGGGGGTGGTACTGGAATATTTACCAATAGAGCTGGATGGGACCTGCCTGAGCTTGTCTGGCCCTTGCTCCTGAACCAAATAGTGGTGTTTCACCCCAGGGACACTTTAGGACGCCTGGGTGTGTGGTGTTTCACCCCACAGACACTTTTGGCTACCTGGGTGTGTGGTGTTTCACCCCACAGACACTTTTGGCCACCTGGGTGTGTGGTATTTCACCCCACAGACACTTTTGGCTGCCTGGGTGTGTGGTGTTTCACCCCACAGACACTTTTGGCTGCTGGGTGTGTGGTGTTTCACCCCACAGACACTTTAGGCCGGCTGGGTGTGTGGTGTTTTCACCCCACAGACACTTTTGGCTGCCTGGGTGTGTGGTGTTTCACCCACAGACACTTTTGGCTGCTGGGTGTGTGGTGTTTCACCCCACAGACACTCGTGGCTGCCTGGGTGTGTGGTGTTTCACCCACAGACACTTTTGGCTGGCTGGGTGTGTGGTGTTTCACCCCACAGACACTTTAGGCTGCCTGGGTGTGTGGTGTTTCACCCCACAGACACTTTGGGCTGCCTGGGTGTGTGGTGTTTCACCCCACAGACACTTTAGGCTGCCTGGGTGTGTGGTGTTTCACCCCACAGACACTTTTGCCTGCCTGGGTGTGTGGTGTTTCACCCCACAGACACTTTTGCCTGGCTGGGTGCTGCAGCTGGGCACTGCAGACAAGTCCAGGCCTGCAGGAGCTCTGGTGGTGCTGGGATGGAGCTTCCCCCCATAACAGGGGCTGCTCCTCAGGTTTCCCTCTGGCAGAGAAGCTTTAAGGGGATGGTGAAGGAAAGGAGTTGGTTCTGATGGAGGGTTTGGATCCAGAGCTTTATTCTGGCCCCCAGGCCTCTGAATGCAGCACCAGCTCCAACAGAGCTCCCTGAGCCCGTGGCTGCTGCTCCTTTAACCCCGGGGAGAGGGGCAGGGAAGGGGCAGGGAGCCACCAAGCAGGGACAGGAGGGGAGGGACAAAGGGACAAAGGACACCTGGATGGCCCCAATGCCCCCAGGGGTAGAGGGCATCCTTTGGATCTGCCAATCACTGAGGCCCTTCTGGAATGCCAGGACTGACAGACAGTGCTGGGAGGGGAAAGGAGAGGTGACTGACACACCTGGGAGGGAATCATCAGGGGAGGGATGTGAGGTTCTGGGGTTAACCATGAAATCACAACACAACAGGGTGGTGAAGGCACTGGGCAGTGCTGGAAGTGTGTCCAGTTTGGCAGAGCAGGGGCTGTGGCAGAGGTGAGGGGAGCAGGGCATCTGTTGCTCCAGGACATGAAATAACGTGGACACTGGACTCTCTGAGGTAAAAAAGAGGGAAATTTAATTTCTGACTCCAACATTTATAGATTTCCAAAAGTGACAGTGGGTTGGAGGGTGACAGTGCCACCTCTCCAATCACACTGGACAAACCAACAGTCCATCCAATTTCTCCTCTATAAAAGAATGCAAAACAATGAGTTATTTACAGAAAGTGCGTGAGAAAGTTCATTTCAAGAATGTCAACATCAGAAGGCTTAGAAAATCTTAAAAAACCCAGGGTGACAGGCTGGTTTTCCCTGTTGTGAGGAAAAGCTGAGGGAGCTGGGCTGTTCAGTCTCCAGAAGAGATGACTGAGAGGACACCTCATTAATAATGATCTAAAGGGGGGTGCCTTGAGCATGGATCAGGCTCATCTTGGTGGTGCCAGCCACAAGAACAAAAGGAACAGGCAGAAAGTGATAACCTGGAAATTCCAGCTGAATGTGAGGAAGAATTTCTTGGGAACATTGGAACAAATTGCCCAGAGAGGGTATGGAGGCTCCTCACAGAAGAAATTCCAGAACCAGCTGGATGCAGTCCTGTGCCATGTGCTCTGGGATGAGCCTGTAGAGCAGGGAGGCTGAACCAAATACCCCAGCGTGGTCCTTTCCAGTCTGAACCACCCTGTGACTCTGAAAGCAGTGGGGGCACAGGCCAGGCTGCAGCTCCCCCTCCTGTCACAGACATCTTTTATGGAAAATCCTCTCCTTAGGATTGTTCCTCCTGAGAAACTGAGAGGCCTCAGGAACAAAATGCAAACAATGGTTATCTGCTGCTGTGGAATGCAACAGGTGCATCTGGGATTGGTCTCATGTGGTTATTTCTAATTAATGGCCAATCACAGTCAGCTAGCTTAGACTCTCTGTCTGAGACAGAAGTTTTTTTTATCATTCTTTCTCTATTCTATTCTTAGCTAGCCTTCTGATGAAATCCTTTCTTCTATTCTTTTAGTATAGTTTCAATGTAATATATATCATAAAATAATAAATCAAGCCTTCTGAAACATGGAGTCAGATCCTCGTCTCTTCCCTCATCCTAAAACCCCTGTGAATTCCATCACACCCTCCCAAAGAGCCTTTGCCAATGAATTCAGAGTGTGAGGTGGGAGCTGTGCCCCTGTGCTGCTCTGACCCTGTGTGTGTCAGGAGAAACCCATCCCTCAGCTGGGGCACTGTCCTGGCAGCCCTGCACCACTGCCCTCAGCTTCACAACAGAACCTGCTCATCCCTCTTTTTCACAGGATGAAAACAAATGCAGGGGTGGGGGGGAAAACATCCTTTCTTGCTGGAACTGGAGGAATTTTAAAGAGCTCCAGGAAAAGGGAGTTCAAGGAGTTGGGCAGGGAGCGTGAACAGAGGGGAAGAGATGGCCGGAAGGCTGAATGCATTAACATGGAGCAGACTTCTGGAAAAACAGCAGTTCAGTAAAATTCAAAATGTGTATGCAAGGGCTGCAGAGAGGTCTGTGTGTGCACAGAATGTGTCAGGGATGACATCAGAGAGAGCCCTGTAGGGCCATGAACTCCTGAGCAGGCGCTGCTGGTGGTGCTTCAGGAGCATTTGGAGGGGTGAAAATCAGCAGCTCCTATTGATGTTTACTCCTGGTTCTTTTTTCCACCCTGTATTATTTTCATGGCTCTCTTCCCCCTTTGGGGTGTGCCTTTCTTTCATTTAAATGCTTTTCTTCCAAGAACAACTACCTGTGAGAAGGATTCTGCAGTGGTAAAGGCTCAATTTTACTTCAAAATTTGTGGTTGTTGCTTTTTCTAACGTGCCTCACCTCCAGCCTTGCCACATTGCTGTGTTTGTAGTGAACTTTGAGGAATTTCTGGCCATCTGTCTGTTCCCAGAGCATTGTGCAGACACTGGGATGAGATTAGATGTGAGCATATGATTCATGCACAAATTAGGTAGGTAGCTAAATTGGCACAGTTCCCCAGAAATCCAGTGGCCTCTGGTGTGGTGATGTCCTTCAAAGATCCTTGGGCTGCTCTTCCAGTCCAGGCACCCAAACAAGTCCATTCCATCAGCAAGAGATGTGAGGCAAAGGAGGTTTCCAAGCATTGAAGAGCATAAGTGACTGCTTTCTTCAGGCCTTAATGAAGTCTAGGTAAAGATAAACTGCTTTTTATTGAGGAATTCACTTTTCAAGACCGTGTTTTACAGAGCCCAAGACAGCCAAGTAGAGATTTTTATATTTTCTTTTTGCTGGTTTACTTTTTTCCCATTGACATTCCTCTTTTTCTTGCCACTCACATCCATGAAAATTCAAAATAAGAAAGACCTTTGATGGTAAAATATATTTTTAATTTTGCCTGGCTGAGGTTGTAAATTATTCACAGGGGCTTGTTTCTTCCCCTGATTTTACAACACAACAACTTTAAATATGCAGAGGCTCATAATGAGAACTGGTGTTGGAGGGGAGCACTAAACACCCCACCAGCCCTGAGCATGGTGGGGAGAAAAAGAGGATTTATCTTGGCAATGGCAGGGAAAATGCAGACGGAGCTGGGCATGCATTATGCACGGAGGACACGTTCCAATCTCAGTCTGGGGGCTAAACAAGAGCTCTGGGACATTAAAGCAGCCATGACCTGGCTCTCCCAGGAGCTGGTGTCTCTCCAGCAGAGCTGCAGGCAGTTCTTCCCTGGGTTATGGCTGCTTGTGGCTCAGCCTGGTGTCTCAGGAGGTGGCAGAGAGTGACAAACACACAGGAACTGGGCTGGCTTTGAAATGCCAGCTGCTGCTCGGGCCCCAGGAGGGTGGGACAGGGAGCAGCACCTGAACGCTGCAGTTTTCACACCTGGACACAGGAGGAACAGCTCTGGTGCCTTTCAAACTGCAGAGCAGCCAGTGAAAACCCAGCTCTGCTCCAGCCTGCTTGTGACAAAGGCACTGGTGAAGGGTCACTTTGAGGGCATCCATGCTCTGGGATGGAGCACACAGAGCTGAGAGCCAATTTTCAGGAAAATCCCTCAAGGAAAAACAACTTTGAACATATCATTCACTTAATTAAAGGAGAAATTAAGACTTAATAATGCAGGAAAATTCTGTTAACCTCTCTTGATCCAAGAGTTGCTTTCCCATGTGACCCCTCCATGGGGATGCTGTGCTTTTCCAGCTCTACACAGAGCTGCACAGAATAGGTTTCCAGCAGCAGTGTCCCTGCTCAGCACCCCTCAGTCCTAGGGACAGCACTGCTCCTTCAGGAAAAAGCATCATCACTCATGGATTTCTCTGTTTTCTTCCTTTGGAGGAAAAAAATGACAACCTTTGTAGGGAAATCACTAATCCTCACTGCTCCAGAGAACAGATCTCTTCTCTTCTCTTCTCTTCTCTTCTCTTCTCTTCTCTTCTCTTCTCTTCTCTTCTCTTCTCTTCTCTTCTCTTCTCTTCTCTTCTCTTCTCTTCTCTTCTCTTCTCTTCTCTCCTCTCCTCTCCTCTCCTTTCTCCTTCTCCTTCTCCTTCTCCTTCTCCTTCTCCTTCTCCTTCTCCTTCTCCTTCTCCTTCTCCTTCTCCTTCTCCTTCTCCTTCTCCTTCTCCTTCTCCTTCTCCTTCTCCTTCTCCTTCTCCTTCCCCTTCTCCTTCCCCTTCCCCTTCTCCTTCTCTGTGCCTGGTTCATGCTGTGTAGGGACCAAATCCAAGAGGAGATCTGCTGGTGATGTGACAGCAGTGCTGCTGCCTGATGTGATTCCACCCAGGCTTCCTGCCTGCCCCCTGGCCAAGGATTCCAGCCTCAGCATTCCTCTAGTGAAAATGAGCCAGGCTGGAATGAAAAAATCCTGATTTTTGTGCCTTGGCTGTTAATATGAGGCATGATTTTTTCCCGGGAAGGTTGGTTTTTTCCCCAGTTATTGGTGCAATTGATGAAGAGTTGATGGCTGTGCATCACTGCTGAGGGGAGAATTATCCCAGATCTTCCTTCTCCTGCCACAGCCTCACAAAATGGTGGCGAAACAACATTTCTCATTTCTCTCTGCTGCATCTCCTTGCAGTTAAATGCTTTTGTTACATGAGAGATCCAGAACTTCTGGCTCAAAATACACTTTCCCACTGATCCAGCCTCTTCAGTGGCAAACGAGTTGCTTCATAAAAATGACAAAATTCCTTCAAATCCCCCTGAAAAACACAAAGGGATGAAACTCAAAAATGCATTGAGTGGTCAGTGCAGTGACCACTGCTCCTCACATTAATCACAGATATTTTATTTATCCCCTGTGCCTCGCTGGCTGCTTGCTGTGTTCACCTGTTGTGTCTCATCAGATCCAGGGGGTTCAATCCTCTGGAAGATGGATTGACTTTGTTTGTGTGGACAGAGCCTGATGTGGCAGAGCCTTGATCCCTGCCAAGGTCTCCTCACAAGCTCGACACATGAAAATGGTAATGGTGATAAAGGAAATCAAAGCTGGTCATTTTCCAGGGAAAGTGCTTTTGTAAGAGGTATAACAATGCCATCATTGTTGCCACCACAGCTTTGATAGTGGTCGAAGGCTAGTCTGTTATTTTTAACAAAATATTAAAGACAAAGTTTTACATGCCTAACTTCTCCACTTAGGTCCTGCAAAACTAATTAAAAGATTTCAACTGATCAATTATTTTGATGAAAAGCACCTTCTTTCCACAAAAAAAGAAAAAAAAAAGTGAATTTTTCATCTCAAAGCCAAAGGCTGAATACTCAACACAACTATTGCTTGAAAAACTGAAATCTAATAAAAATATTTTGATTTTCCACCAGAATATTTTTGGTTTGTTTTCAGGCATTTGGCTTTCAGATAAAAGCTGGAAAATTTCCAGGGAAAGTGAGAGGGAGGGCTTACTGGGATTTTGGGTTATTTTTTTCATATATGAAATAAAAGAAATAATTTGGATGAATCAAATTGTTTTAGCTTGTAAGAATTTTAAAGAAAAGTAAGCCCTTGTTCTCGTAAAAAATTATGCAAAGATGATGAAAAGTGAAATATTTTTTGGCCTTGAAAGCAGTGGTACATATTTTTTGGACCATGCTATCACTGCCAGAGGCAGTGTATTCATCAGTGGTTCATCTATCAAATCAGAACAAGCACCATTCTTCTCATTAAGAGAGTTATGTAGAAATGGCACATTCCTCCTGTAGTTGTGTCTTCTCTTCATTTATTAAAATCCAAGTTTCACATGTTAAGGATGCAGGATGGCATTCCACCTTTTAAGACTTCTCACAATGCCAGCCTTTTGTTAAGAATGGACTGGATTTTAATGTGTCTCACCCAGCACAAATTGAATTATTAGGTAAATAGTCCTTCTCAGCTGCATGTCCTTTTCAGACCTGCTTTGTTACATTCAGGTCTCTGCTGATGTTTATCAGTTCTTAACTGCTTCTCTCCCAGATTCTCTGAGCTTACAATTTCAAAATCACCTGCTTTTGTCCCTTATCTTGTATGGTATTTTCACTCTTTACTTATATTCCCTGGATGAGACTCTGGGAGAGGCAAGAAGGCAGCAAGGCTGGTTCGTTCAAATTAACTTATTTGCTTTTCCTCTGATTAATTCTCTTTACTCATCCCCTTTCCTCTTCCCTTTTGCAATGCCACTGGGAGCTGAAGAGGTCCAAGTAACATTTGTTTGTCCACTGTACCTACCTGCACACTGTGTTCTGCTTGCAGTCATCATCCATCCCCTCCAGAAGTCGGGTCAGACAGAGACTTGCACAAAGTGAGATCTTCTCCTGTCAGGTGTGCATCATTCCAGAGGCACTGCCTACAGGGAGAACGTGCTTCAGGTGGGACAGGCGGGCTGAATCCTTTGTGGCAAAGCTCTGCTGGTTAAAAAAATGTCCCAAAGTGTTGTCTACTCAGTGGAGCTGCTTTACTTGTCTGGTGGACTCGGCCTTGCTGTCTGAATAGAGGAGGAGGTTTCTCTATGGCCTCCTATGATGCTGGTGAGGAAGGGTGGATTCCTCCAAGAGTGCTCTAGGTGTGGGACTTCTCTTTCTTTAGGTGCAGTAGATAACACCATTTTCTCCCTGCTTGCAGCCTGAAATCTCCTTTTCTCTCTGCTGCAGGAGAGGAGGCCTTGACCATGTACATGGACAAAAGCCGCCTCGACAGAAAGTCAGGAAACGCCACCCAGAGCGTTGAAGCTTTGCACCAGCTCGCCTCCTCCTACTTTGTAGATCGTGATGGCACCATGAGGAGACTCCATGAGATCCAGATCTCTACAGGAGCAATCAAGGTACCACATCCTGCCTTAGGAAGAGGGAAAAGATTGTCTGCCATATATGGATTCTCTAGGGATTTGGGCAGGGCTTTGCCAGTCTGGTGTCTTCTTTGAGCACAAGTTGTTTTATTCCCAGGGTTAGGTTGTTGGCTCTTATTCAATTGAAGAATTGATTTCCCCAGGGTCACCAATGTCTGGAAAGAGGTGGGCATTCAGTGTGGTGATTGTGTAGGACAGGAGGCTTTCACTAAATGTGACAGTGACTTCTGGAAGGGAGAGAGGGACAGAGGACCCAGATCAGTGATGGAGGTTGGAAGGGAAAGGCAGGTCTGTGAAATGAACAGCCCTGTGCCACCTAGGAGTGTTTGTCTCCTGGGGGTGTAAGGCTGCAAAACATCTCTCAGCTGAATTTACAAGAAATGGTGAAAAACTCAGCGTGGCATTACTGAGGCTTCTGGAATGAAACGGACTGAGAGACAGCTTGGGGGTTGCAGCAGGAAGGAAGGGAAGCTGCTCAGAGAATACAAAACAGGGAAAATGGCTCTGCAAAGGCTGCCTTCTCTGAAAGCAATCATCCTACAGTGGGCAGGGATTTTATTGTTGCTGAGTTCACTCCAGGGAAGGTGATGTGGATGGAGTCGTCATTGTTAGCCATTTCTGAAAGGTTTCAGCTCTCGTTATTGTTCTGTGCTGTCTCATGGCTGAGGCTGTTCCCTTCTGGATGGGAAATTGTATTGAGATATTGAAACAGTGACAGCAGATAATCACCTGTGGTGAATTCCAGGAGGGCAGGAAACCAACAGCAACAGCACTGCGGGTCATCTGTGCCTCCATCCATCCTCAGCACAGGGCTGCTGTTCACATCTGTTGTGGGAGCACCAGGCACCACTGTGGGCTGGCAATCCATCTCTGTTTCTTGCTTTCCAATAAGAGAAGCCAGGGAATAATTCCCCTACAGGCTTCTGATGTTCTCCAGTGGAGATCCTCTGTGAGAAACATCAATCTGCAGGATCCCATTGCCAAGCCCAGAATAACCTGAGGTACCCTAAAGAAAGCAGCCGCAATTCCTTCTGATTTTTCAGCTTGAGACTGCACCAAACATTAGCAGTGTCTTGCAGGGTGGGGCATTTTTTCCCAATTAGGGAGGATGTGTTTTGGCTTATACCAGCCTGTGACAAGGAGTCCTTGAATTAAAAGATTTAAAAAGCCTGGGGAAGGTGTGGTGCTGCAGTCAAAGGGAACATTCTCTCTTTTCTGCATCCTCTGTAGGTAACAGAAACTCGGACCGGCCCCCTGGGCTGTAACAGCTACGACAATCTGGACTCTGTGAGTTCTGTCCTTCTGCAAAGCACTGAGAGCAAACTCCACCTGCAAGGTAGGGCCCAGGGACCAGGGAAGGGGGTGGAAATGGGACAGGAGTGCCCTTTTTCTGAGCCTTTCCCCCTCTTCTCTTTGCTGTGATTCTGCTGTGTCTGGAAGTTCCCTGCAGCGTCACACGAGGTTCAGCTGAGCAGAGCTAGGGCTGACCCCAATGAAGTGTCTCTCTCTGCTGCTGAATTTTGATGGACTTCTGTGTATGATACACACACCAACATTAAAAAAAAAAAGTGACCTCTTCCATCAGTGTAGAAGGAGAATTCTGCCCACGTCTCTCCATCTCTCCCAAACTGCTGATTTGTGTAAGAGGTTTGCAGATCAGCTTTCGGGGCTCTCTAATGACCATAATCTTTGGGAAAAGTCACAGAGGTTTTATTTGGATGCTAGAAGCCATGGCTTCAGTCCCAGATGGGGAGCTAGTCCAAAAGTCAACAGATAGAGGTCATGGCTGAATTAATAAATAAATACATGCTGGTTAGCAAGAAGTCAACTTCAGTAGAAGGAGGAAATTCACTGGGCATGTAATTCATGAAGGTTATTCCCAAGTTTTTGACAAAATAAGGAAATGTGGGATTTAATTGCTCATTTGCCCAGATGGTTTTATTTCTCAAATCCTTGTACTTGCACAAATTTTAATTTTTCAGATGAATGGGCTACATTACATCTTCTGCTTTGAGTATAATTTGGCAAGTGCTGTTTTAATCTTTGGTTTCACAGAAACTGGGTTTCATTTACCAAGTAATGTTGTGGATATAATATTATTGTTGTTATTATTTGCCTTTAAAAATAATATGCAGGTTGTTTTCACTATGGCAGTGATTATCCAAATCACTGAGTTCTGGTTCTTAGCTAATTAACAATAAGCAGTTTGAGAGGGTTTTACACTGTGATGATAGCTGCTGGTAATGAAAACCCAAGGATGACACATGAGATAAGTGGGGAAGCAGCTAAATCAGCAGGCAGCTCGGGTTATAGGCAGACAAGTGGGTAAATCAATAGACTGCTATTGGTTATCTGATCCTACAAGAGAGGAGATAAACCAAGGGAGGGGGAAGGAGGTGGAGGAAAAGGGAAAAATTAGGAGACAGAGGGGATGAGGCTGTGGTCTCTGATGGGAGCAGACAGAGAACCTTGGGGGCCAACCACACGTGGGTTTCATGGAGCTCCATGGCTGAACCCAGGCAAAGGAGACAGCGAGGGAAGGGAGGAAGGCAGGAGCTCTTCCTAATGGAACAAAGTGACCTTTACAGCTCCACCTGAGTTTTCTACCTAATCTGGAGTGTGGTTCTTGGGATAATTACCCAGGATCCTTCCTCTGCTCTGAGAGGCCTCATTACAAATTAGTCACAGGGCTGCAGCAGGTAATGGATCGTGACCAAGTCTCCTCTGATCTGATTAGCAGCCGAGCATGAGCTGCTGACAGAAATCCATGTTCCTGCCTTTGTGTCACTCCAGCTCTCAGCCTGGCTCAATAAAAGAGCAACTTCTTCGTGACAGGGAGAATTTCTCTGTCTGAACTTGCTGCTGCCCAGCCCTGGGACTTGGGCTTTCAAAGCTGTGCCTTTCAGGAGAGAGAGACAGGGTGGAAAGTGGCACTGATTGCCCTGCTCTGGTTGGCAAGGTGGTGATTAGCCAAAGGCTGACTCAGGGATCATGGTGGTCTTTTCCAACCTAAATGATTCCATGAACCCATGTAGGGTTTGGGCAGGTTGATTTTGGGGGAGGATAGTAAAAGGTGTCTGGTGCTGCACTTGGGGTTACTGGGACAAAAAATAATCACTAATTTATAAACCAGTATCCTTGTGGGCCCAGCATGCATGACATGTTCTGGAGTACCTATATACATATATATACACAGCGTTTGTCAAGAATGTCCCCCTTTTCCCCAGCACTCCCTGGAGCAGGATCCCTGTGGTGATGCAGGGCAGGGTACCAGCAGCTCTACAGCAACCTGTTGGGAAAGGGGCATTTGTGTTCCCTGGCCAGAAATTGGAAAATTTGACTAAGAAAAAAAAAGCAACATTTTGAAGAATTTCAGGAACTCCAAATTTCAGAGGCATGGCTTATTGTATCAATACTGTTACTGACATATATGTCAATATATGTCAATATTGGAGTATATGTATATGTCAATATTGGAGCATAGCACTATCTCAGTGAGGTACAATCCTTCTATGCTGTTCCAAACTGTGCAACAATAAACAGGAAATGTTGCATATTAGGTCATTTTCTACATCAAATATGGTCATATATTATTATGCTATACATAATGCATGTTGTATGCAATACTTATATAGTATTAAATATATTAAATATATTAAATTTCAATATTTAATATTATATTGTCGTATATGCGTAAATACCCTTATATATTATACATCTATAACTACATAAAGAGATGTATTATATACCTGCATAGCATATATGATAACATAACATTAGAATTTACATTAAAATTACTATTAAAGCTTTTTCCAAGATGGAAAGAACAGTAATGGCAACACAAAACATTTCAACTTTTCACTGCAGTGAAATGAGGGAGTATGAAAAAATACATTTAGAAAGTGAAAAGTGCTTTTGGAGTCAACATGCTCTCACAAAATGCTTCAATGGAACTGCATTTTCAACAGAGAACTCTTCTGTGGAAAATGTTTCAAATAGCTCTAATTTAGAGCTGGGAAAATTTACCTCTTTTAATGCAGGAAGCCTTTTATATACAGTCTAAAGCCAAACATCTATCTCTAATAGTTTTTCTGGGTGAATTAAGGACATGTTCCCTTGTCAGATACTTCATATTCTGCCTGTAGTTATCTAAGATAAACCTATACCAAATCTGTGCTGCCCTTCATTTTTAAAGAGGAACTTCATGCTTTACAAAGTGGCAGAATTCCTCCTCTGATCAATAAATTACCTAAAAATCTAAGATATCCAAGTCAGCAGCAAACTTTCCTTGTGCATCTGTTATCAGCTCCTGAGGCTGCTCTTGGGGATGAGCCCATTCCTTGTGCCCCCTGGCTTGGATTGAGGGATTCTCCCCATGGGGATGGTCCAAAATCCCAATTTTTAAGACCAGATTGCTTCTCTTCTTGGCTGCTGACTTGAGATTGTTTCATCAGTAGACAGCAGTGAAAGATTGAATATATAAGACAGTAGTGAAAGATTGAATATATATCTATATATATATATATATATATATGGTTTTTTTAATGTTTACAATATCCAAATAACTTTCTTAGAGAACAGCACAGCATTTGGGATATTTTATTATTTTATTAGGGTTGTGGCTGGCAGCAGGGCTTTCCCTGCTAGCACAAGCTGCTCAGTGGTGCTGTTATATTCCTTGGGATTACAGCTTTCCTGCTTTACAGGTAGCAACAGAAGCACCCAGGGCAGTGGTCTCAAAAGATTGATGCTACTTGTGCTTTCCTGACAACCATAACCCACTGAATTCCAGCAATGTTTAGTCCCTGGGCATGGGATAGAGCTACACATGAAAGAGAGGATGCCAGGATCATCTGGATGAGGTGTTGCTGCTGGCACAGAGCTTGTAAAATCTCTTGTTGATATCCAATCACAGAGATGCTCAGAACGAAAGCAAAAAAATTCAAATGAATAAATTGATATGTATATAATTGATATGAAAAAAATTGATATGCCCTTGTCTGGGGATGATGAGGAATCTGTGAATATTTACATGTATATATATAAAATACTTCTGTGGAAATAGGCACAGCTGTATTTCAGCTGTGAAATTTCTGGTTGAGCACCAGAAATTTCAGCTGTGAAGTTTCTGGTTTCTTCTGGAAGAAACCAGAACCAGAACCAGAAGCACTGGTTTCTTCCACAAGGAAATTGCAGGCTGGAAGATGTGAGTCACCTGCAATCCCAGCAGCCTGTTTAGAGTCAGGGGTTGTGTTTGGAGTGTGCACACTGGTGCTCCATGAGTGGCTGGGTTTGGGTGTCACTTGTGCAAACACAGCCCTGAGTGTGGGCTTCTTGTCAAATGCTTCAGGCAAAGGATGGGTTCCAGCAAAACTGCTTTTCTGATGAAATTAAGTATTTATATCAGTGTTCTGTTGAGTTGGTGCTAAGTGTACAGAGGTCTGATTGCCCCTTAAACATTATATTATTTCTTACAAGAGGATATTTTCCTGGAAATGTTATTTTTTTTTCAGAAACCATGAGTTTTATGGGCAAAAAGAGAGGATCCATGTGAAACACTGCAGTGTTAAAACATGTTGTATTTTGGAGATTACAGGGTATTCACACCTCTGCATGTGCTGGAATGCACAGTGGATCTCCCTTGCAATGGGAGGTGCTTTCCTTGAAACTTCAGTTGCTTTTTTCACCCCTATTCCCTATTAAAAAAAAAAAAAAATCTCCAAAGCCAGGATCATTTGTAGCTGGGACCAAACACCTTGTTGTGCTTTATCCAAGTTCAAATTCAAAGAGAAACTATGGAGAGCTTAAGAGCCTGGGGTAATTTGATCATATTCAAAGAGCCAGAGCAGGTTGCTCCTCCATGAAGCAGAGTGGAAAATGTGTTCATGGGACTTGGACCATGAATGAAGAGTCAGTGCACATCAAGAAGTCCAGCTCTGCTCTCATGTGAGCTTGAAAGCTCAGTGAGTACAGCTGCCTTCAGGCTCTCTGGTCCCTTTGGTGGATCAGCTCTCCAACAGCACTGCACTTTCATTCCACCCTGAAAGAAAGTTTGGGATCCTGGCAGGTGGGTCACTAATATCAGTGTGAGGGTTTGGTAAGGGACCATCCCTCTGTAGTGGTTGTTTCAGATAAATCATAGAATTCCAGAATGGGATTAGAAGGGACCTTAAAGCTCATCCCATCCCACCCCCTGCCATGGACAGGGACACCTCCCACTGTCCCAGGCTGCTCCAAACCCTGTCCAGCCTGGCCTTGGGCACTGCCAGGGATCCAGGGGCAGCCACAGCTGCTCTGGGCACTCTACCAGGGCCTCATCTCCCTCACAGGGGAGAATTTCTTCCTAATGTCAAATCTAAACCTACTCTCTTTCAGTTTAAAGTCACTCCCCTTTGTCCTACCATTACAATCCCTGGAAGAGGCTGAGCTTCAGGACTTCCTGAAGACAGCAGGAAGAAATTTGAGCTTCTTGTTGAGACACATCTCAGAAAAGACCAAAGGCACCTCAAAATAATGATCCTCTGCAGGCCAGTTTTTGAGGTGTTTGCAGGGATGCTGTCCTGGTCAGCTCTTTGTGTGCTCCTTCCAGTCCACAACAGCAATGCAGAAAAGGCAGCAGGATCTATGCAGAAGTGTCCCTGGGCTGGAAATCCTTCCCTGTGCAAGTGTCACAAACACATTCCCAGCTGGAGGGTGCTCCAAGCTCACCCTGCCTGGAGGCTGCCAATGGGGTCAGGCAGAGGGGCAGCTTGGTGCCACCAGGCACAGGGGCAGGGGAACCAGGGCTCCCTGTGCCTTCCACAGCCTCCTGAGCCCCCAAACCTGCTCTTCCAGAGGGACCTCATTAAGGCTGAGGTGCTTCTATGGATCCAAATGCAAAAGGGTAATGGGGGTCCCAGGGTCACCGCCTGCTGTTTTTCTCTTGTCTGAGGTGAACACAACCCATCAGAGACGGGCCTGCACTCCTGAAAGGGGTCACAACCCTTTTTGCCATTCCTGCACGCTCTCATCCTCTGAATTATTGTCTGATTTTCATTCCACTCCAGTGAGCTGTCAGGCATGGCTCTGGTAATGCAGCGCAGCAGAAGCACAAACAGATGGGGGATTGACCCGCGTGCCTCCATTGCACCGCAGCTCAGCACTGCCACAAACTCCTCACACTGCCACTCCAGACCTGCCTCAGCACTGCCACAAACTCCTCACACTGCCACTCCAGACCTGCCTCAGCACTGCCACAAACTCCTCACACTGCCACTCCAGACCTGCCCTCTTCCAAGGGGGTCCCTGTCAGGACCCAGGACATTCCTCTGGCTGCCCTGGGGGATTTGAGACCCTGGCAGGGGGCTCAGAGACCTTGGCACAGAGTCAAAACCACCTGTGCCTTCGATTTTAGTCCATGGAAACAATTACCAACTGTGTGTGAGGAGTTACAAGCCACAAGGGTTTGAGTAGAATGATAGTTAATGTGTTACAGGGTGAAAAAGTAGAATTTTGGGGTTTTAGAATGGGGGTTCAAGAAGCAAGATGGAGGAATCCGGGCATGTCCTGTCCTTCTTCTTCTTCTTGCCCTCCATCTTCTGCTGTGATGGTGGCACTTTTGGATTTTTTTAGAGTAGAGACAGAGTGTCTAACATAGGTGATAGGTATCAGAAAATTATTGTAAATAAAGCACACTTAGTTCTTAGTATAAAAAGTTAACACCACCCTGAGGGCAGGGACTGTGCCACAACCCGACCTGCTGGACAGATCTCAGCAGGTCAGAGAAAGAATGGGATAGATAAGGAAAAATAAACAACCTTGAAAAGCAGAACCGAGGAATCTCCACTTCTTCTTCGGTCATGGGGCTGGGAAAAAAGAGACTCTTTAATACCTTGGGGGTCATCTCAACCACAGAAACCTGAGAGGTCCCTGGAAGGTTTGGGGTTATTGTCCCCTGCCTCGTGCTCCACAGACACTGACAGGGGCTGACAGGCAGCACTGGCCAGGTAGAAGCAAACAGCTGGGAATCCTCAGGGAGATCTGCAGGGAGTCTGGAGAAGGACAGGATGGAAAACCACACACACTGTGCTCAGGGCAAACATTGTAACTGTTATTGCATCTCTGGTACCTGAGCAAAGGGGCACTTACACTGCTGCCTGCACAGATGGATGCATACACAAACACTTGCCATGCAGGAAGGGACAAGGGGATAGATCTCCCTGCTAATGTAAGTCTGCCAAGCAACACTGAAATCATCGGCACTAAATCCATTTGCACTTTTATAGGATTTGGCAAGTAGCCTTCCTAGCAGGGAGCAAGCTGTGAAGGCTCAGGTACCCAACTCCTGTATTTATGCTGTGGGAGCTGGGCACTTAACTCTGCAAGGGACTTTTATAAATCCCCTCTTGTGGTATTTTCCTTTCTTCTGTTTTCTGTTCCTTCTTATTTTCCCTTTCAGTGTGTATTTTCCTTTTTTTCTGTGGAACCAAACCCATTTAGAATCTCTCTAAACAGGTCAGAGCAGCATAATGCTCACTGCTTCTGAACTAGCACTTAGTTTCAGGACACAAAAAACACCACACCTGGGAATAAGGGAGGCTTTGCAATCAGGGCCTTGTACTGTACTGGGATCTGGGAATGGGATGAAATGGGTTTTGGGGAAAGGGAAGTTTCTTGTCACCCTTCTCCTGCCCATAGGAGATGGGCTCTGTTCTCAGCTAAATCACTACTGTTCCTTCCTTATTCATGACAGCTTTTAATTCCTCACCATAACTTTCTCAAACTGTTAAAGAAATGTGTTTTGAAAAGAGCAACAAATGCCTGAAATTTCTTTTTTATTTACTTTCATTTTCCTTCCATAACCCTGTTGTTCTCTCTCCAGGCCTCCAGATCATCTTCCCTCAGTATTTACAAGAGAAGTTTGTCCAGTCTGCCTTGAGTTACATCATGTGCAATGGGGAGGGCGAGTACATCTGCAGGGACAGCCAGTGTGGCTGCCAGTGCTCCGAGGAGTTCCCGCAGTGCAACTGCCCCATCACCGACATCCAGATCATGGAGTACACCCTGGCAAACATGGCCAAGACCTGGACAGAAGCCTATAAAGATCTGGAGAATTCAGGTAACTGACCAAAACTTGCTTTTTCAATTTGTGGCAGGTTACAACCTGGTAAAAACCTTTTATTCCCTCAGTATAATGCTCTAGTTTGGCTAAAAACTAGAAGATTTGAACCCAAACCCAGGATCTTAGTCTTGAAAGTCCTACCCTTTTTTCCTCTATTAAAAACACAGACAGGAACACACACCAGACATGGAATTATGTGTACAGAGATATTTTCCATGGAAGTATATGTTTGGTTAAAAATCTGATTTTTCATACTAAACCGTCTCCAAATCTCTCTTTTACTAGTTCGACAGAGAAACTTCCACCATATGAATGATGCAGAAATTGCTTTTCAGATTTGAATGAATACTTTCCTTTGCTTTGGTGAAAGCAATTCAGAGGGAGAAGATCACACAGGCCAGATGACACCTCCTTTGAGGCAGGGAGAAGAAGGGAAAATGACTCCTCTGTCCTGCAGGGCAATGTTCCCTGCTGCTGGGAACATTTATCTTTCCCACTTTCTCCCCAGGTGAGGCTGGGGGTGTCAGCACAGTTTGTTCCGCGTTGGTGATGGCAGTGGGAGTAGTTTACCCATAGTAGGTGTGTTGTACTCACAGGATACACACTCCTGAGGGCTTGAGGTAGGAAAGAGCAAGACTTTCAGTGAATTCTCTCCTTTAGCAAGTGGCCTGTCTGCCCTGAAACCACACAGGCACCAAGCAGAACTTCATCAGGAGCCTGTCCTTGTGCTGACTCTCATCTTTCAGTCTTCACCAGCCACTTTCAGACACATTTTCTTCAATGATTGTTGTCACAACTGCCCAGATCTCCATGTCAGGAAGAAAACTGTGAGAAAAGGACCACCTAGCTCAATTCAAGAGGAATCCTTCATCAGTTTTCTTTCTTTCTTCATGTTGAATGCCACCCTAATCCCTTTAAAGGCTGAAATGCAGTAGCCTGTGTGACCGTGTTCACAGGGGTCCAAGGATGAGGGAAGAGATGAGGATCTGACTCCATGTTTCAGAAGGCTGATTTATTATTTTATATTACATTAAAACTATACTAAAAGAATAGAAGAAAGGATTTCATCAGAAGGCTGGCTAAGAATAGAATAGGAAAGAATGATAACAAAGGTTTGTGGCTTGGACAGAGAGTCCGAGCCAGCTGGGCTGTGATTGGCCATTAATTAGAAACAACCACATGAGCCCAATCCCAGATGCACCTGTTGCATTCCACAGCAGCAGATAACCATTGGTTACATTTTGTTCCTGAGGCCTCTCAGCTTCTCAGGAGGAAAAATCCTGAGGAAAGGCTTTTCCATAAAAGATATCTGTGACAAGCCTGTGATGTTTCCTCAAAGGTCTATGGAGGATTTGCTTCACACTTCAACACGTGGCCCCTACGGTGTTTGTGCTGCTGCACGGGTCCTTATGTCCCACTCATGCTGTCACCCTGGTGCTCAAGCAGCCTGAGCAGCCAGGGTGGGAGTCAATGGCCCAAGGTTAATGCCCACCTTGACCAGATCCCCCAGGTACCCTGGGGAGCCACAGGGCTGGGCAGTTCCAGGAGCAGGTCACCAGCTAGCAAGGTCAGATGTGTTCTGTGAGTTTCTGTGGGTTCATGGATGGGCTGGGTGTGGTGTTGTGAGGGTCGCCAGGATGAGGTGAGAGATGAGAATTTGACTCCATGTTCTCAGAAGGCTGATTTATCATTTTATGATATATTATATTAAAAGAATGCTATACTAAACTATACTAAAGAAAGAGAAAGGACACATCAGAAGGCTTAACAAGAATGAATAATGACAGCTCATGACTGACTCCTCAGAGTCCGACACAGCTGGCTGTGATTGGCTATTAATTAAAAACAATTCACATGTTTGGATAAACAATCTCCAGACCACATTCCAGAGCAGCAAAACAAGGAGAAGCTGAGGCTTCTCATCTTGCCAGGAGAAAAAATCCTGGTGAAGGGATTTTTCAGAAAATATCATGGTAGCAGGATGGATAACCCCAGGGCAAACCAGAAATGTGGCTTTCAGGAGCTTTTGCCAGCTCAGTAGCACACAAGTTTACAAGGATTACTGGCAGTGCCTGCCAGCACAGCTCTGCCACTGGTTATGTGTTAGCAGTTGTTAGCTCTGGCACAGCATCTTCACAAAAGGTGCTCGAGAGCCACAGATTGGTCTCACCAAACCCTTTCCCATCCCAGGGGATCCAACCCAGCACTGAGAAGGTGGGAGCCCTGTGGGGAGGGGAGTTCCAGCCCCACATCCTGTCCTTGCTGCACCCAATCCAAGCACAGGCCAGGGTAGGTAATTATATCCAGGCTCCCTCCCCTTGAGATTTGAATGGGGGAAGGTGTTTTTCATTTGCCATGTTCAAGTGACATATTGCAGTGCAATTTCTGCCATATTCCACCCAGGGCTGGAGGCTTTTCAGGGCTAGATGGAGTGATTATCTTTATGTCTAAAGCTGCTGCATCTGATTCATCACTTTGATGCATCATGCGTGAACTTATCCTTTGAGATAGAAGTTGCTATCACAAAAGACTGCAGTATTAGTGTTTTGCTTCTTTGTTTTAATAAATATTCCCAATAACTAGAGGATTTTCTTCATTATGAACAGCAGAGGAGAAATCTCTGATGACACCTGAAGGCTTTTCCAATAAAGTGGACTGAAAGGCACGGGAGTGCTCTGAAAGCAAAATACCATTTTGCACAGGAAGCCACTGAAAGCCCAAAACATTTGTATTCTGCTTCTGGTCTGTGTTGGATCCTCTGTTAATTTGAAAAAAATTGTGCAGGGTGAATCAAGAGTTGCTGTGATTTGGAATAGTATCTTCAAAGTCAAGGAGGCTGCAGTGAACTGAAGCTGCTTTGAATCAGCTCAGGAAATTTTTTACCCTGTGCTTCACTGCTTGTGGGTAAATTGAGAAAAATAACTCTGCCTTATTCTTGACATCTTAGAGTGGCTGGTCAAAAACTTCAGTGATTGTGGATTAAAAAAAAAGCCAACTTTTAATTAAGTCATTTGGTGGAGTTAATTTGTTTGTTTATTCGAGACTATTGCTGTCTGATGTAAATGGGATTTATTTATTTTTTTTTAACACTGGCAAAAAGAAAATTTCATCTGTGAAAGAGATGTCTGACCTGCCAATTCCCTGTGGTGCCACTTGTGATGCTGAGTCACTGCCATGGGACTGCCTTAGGGATGGGGTGACTCAGCAGAAAGAGGGGCCAGGCTGCATCACGGGAGGTGTAGTTCCAGCCATCAGCAAGGTCTGCTGTGCAGAGGAATCAAATAACCACAAATGCAAACAGACTTGTTAATTAATTGGAAATTCTCAGGGCTGAGTATGAACTATTCCCAGAAACAGGGAATATCCCCATCCATACCACTGGCTTTCAGGCAGAGTTATAAATAAATATAAATCATGAAGAAACGATGTTGGTTTTAAAGTACTTTTCTTTTTCTTCATCACCTTAATTTTAAACAACCCCATCCAGCTTTTATTTTGCCAGATTTGCTGCTCATTTGTTTTTCCCCCAACGTTGCACTGCGGTAGCAAAATGTGCACACTGCACCGAAATTCCTGCCTCGCCCGTCTCGATGAAAAATGTTCCACATTCATCATCAGAGGGAAAAGAGCCTGGGCTCCTGCACAAAAAGGCTTTTGAGGAAATTGATTTATAAGGGGCGGGAAGCAAATGCAAGGCTTTTACTGCTGAAAGGTACCCGGAGTAATCAGCATGGTCAACAGAAGCAATTACACCTGATGGTGGTTCCAGAGGCCCACGGAAAAGCACAGTCAGGGCTGAGGAGGAGAAGGGCACTTGCAGCAGCATTAAAAACACAGTGAAAACCTGAGAGATTACTAAAAAAAAAAATCTCTTGGTTGTCTTTGGGGGAGAAAGGAGACAAGCAGATGTCCCAGGGATGTTGGTAGTGCAGTGGTGATGATTGTTTGTATGAGGAGGATGTGAACATCCACTTACCATCCATGGCAGGATGGGACTGCCTGATGTACAAATATCCTTTGTTGGGCAGTTAAGCATGAACTGCAAGTAGGAAATTTCCTGCATAGGAAATCTGTTATGCAAATATCTTTAACTTTGTACTATAGGATTTAAATTATCTGATTTTTTTTCCGCTAATTCTATGGATTATTTCTTTTTCTTATTTGAAAAGATGTCAGCTTTTACAAGCTCTCCTTTTCCTTCTGAAAATAGGATGAAGGAATTAAAAAAAAAAAAGAAGATTGGGAAAGGATCAGAAATAATGTAGATAATGTAGAGGAAATACTTCTTGTTGGCTTGTTTGGGAAGTTTATGGCAGGGTCCTAGTCCAGCTTCCTTCTAGAAGCAGGACCAAAGCCAGCACCAGGTCAGGTCAGCCTTGGTTTTGCCTAGCAGAGTGTAAAATGAGAGATTTTTATACATCTCTGATCGTGTTCCAGCACTGCATTACCTCCAAGTGATGAAGTTTTTCAGTAAATCATTTTAATTTCTCAAGCTGCAAACTGTGTATTGCTCCTTGTTACAGCAAGTGTCTCTCAAAAGAGGAGTTTTGTTCATATCTGTGAGTACCTTTTGCTGTAATTAAATATCCCTTGGCCTCCTCTTTACCAAGTGAGACCAGTGCAGCTCCCCACACCTGACTTTGCAGAGCTCAGAGCACCTCAATGTCCCTCAGCTCTGCCCTCCCAGTCTTGTCCATCCCTTTTAGATGGGTGCCCCAGGTGTAGCAGTGCCAAGAAAAGGTGAATATCAACTTCCCCAAGCAGGATTCAGCCCAGTATGGACCCACCTCAGCCCCCAGGACCTTCCTCAGCTGATTGTGCCCAAGCCTGTGCTGACACTTGGGGTTTTTCTCTCCTGGTACAAAACATTGCTCTTGTTGTTATTGCATTTGATGGAGTTCTTATTGTCCCACTCATTGCATTTCTCAAGGTCTCACTGTGTCAAATGTGGTTTTCTAGCATCAAAAATTGAGTTATTTTCCCCTGAGAAAGTTGGAACCATCTGGTTTTTCCTCATCTGAGGTTGTCCCAGCCTGGTAATCAGAATCTGAGCAAACCACCCTTCTCAGGTAGGAAGGAGGGGCTGATCAGAAACAGAAACAGTATCAGAATTGATGATTGTGATGAAAAAAACGAAACAACCTCAAACAAACCCTGCAGAACAGTGGGGTTTTTTCATTATCAAGCAAAATAAAATGGAAATAAAGTGATTAAAAAAACAACAAACACAACAAACAGCAATACTGAACAATATATTCTTCGATCAATTGGATTTGTTCCTTTGGCTAAAATTGACACCTTTTGTTCTCACCCGAGCCCTGCAAACTGTTTCATTTTATTTTCCTCATTACAAAATGCAACTCATTTAACTTCAAATGGAGTTAAATAAGAGGTAAGAATCAGACTGCTCATTTTAAAAAATGCAAAAGCAGGACATTTTAACAGCATCCAAACCTTTCCTCTGGGGAATTTTTAAATCTTTGTTTCTCCCCCTTTTTTTTTAATTACACAGCAAAATGCTTTGCCTTCAACAACAAACAGCATTTCAGGAGCAGCTGAAAAACAACGTAAATGAGAACACTTTAACTGAAAATGATTGCAACTCCCAGCTTTTTGTTTATAACCCTTACACTATAACCTCATGTTCCAGGGAATTTCTGTTGTTGGTTTTTTTTTTTTTTTCCTCCACCGTGTACATTTTAACTGTGCTGTTACACCTTGATATTCACTATAGGGGTTTTTTTCCTATATGGGAGCAGCAACAGCCATGGGATTAGTGGCTTAACTCAGAGCAGTGAGTTAATGGGCATCACCTTCCCCTGGCAGAGCTGATGGCCTCATCACCACCGCTCTTTCTCCACCCTGCCAACAAAACCTTTGTCACAGCTCAGAAACCTCCGCATTTCTCCCCATTTCTTGTGTGTGTGTGTGTGTGTGTGTTCCAGATGAGTTCAAATCCTTCATGAAAAGGCTACCTAGCAACCACTTCCTGACCATTGGGAGCATCCACCAGCACTGGGGGAACGACTGGGACCTGCAGAACCGCTACAAGCTGCTGCAGAGCTCGCTGGAAACCCAGCGCCAGAAGATCCAGCGCACCGCCCGCAAACTCTTTGGCCTCAGCGTCCGGTGTCGGCACAATCCTAACCACCAGCTGCCTAGGGAAAGGTACCTCCATCCTTCCTCGGGCATGGGGGAGCTGGGCCCAGGGCCTGGTGGAGCTGGGCTTGGGTTTGGGATTAATCCCAGCAGGCTGTGTTTGGATGTAGGGGGTGTTGGCGTGGATGTTTGGGGAAAATGGTAAAATCTGGAAGTTCCTGGAGGTGTAGGTAACTTTTGTCACATTCCTGATTACATTCACATCTTGGGCTTGGGTTTGGGATTAATCCCAGCAGGCTGTGTTTGGATGTAGGGGGTGTTGGTGTGGATGTTTGGGGAAAATGGTAAAATCTGGAAGTTCCTGGAGGTGTAGGTAACTTTTGTCACATTCCTGATTACATTCACGTCTTGGGCTTGGGTTTGGGATTAATCCCAGCAGGCTGTGTTTGGATGTAGGGGGTGTTGGCGTGGATGTTTGGGGAAAACGGTAAAATCTGGAAATTCCTGGCGGTGTAGGTAACTTTTGTCACATTCCTGATTACATTCACATCCCTTCTGTGTGGTTTTACCTACCCAGGGGAAGGGCATCACTTATTCTTTAAGTTCTGCAAGAATATCTTCAGTCTGTTCTGCTTTTTTTGTGGTTTTCCCCTCAAGATCCACAGCTGAGCTTTCAGCCTCCTCTTGCTGTTCAAAGAGACATGTGGAGCACAAGGTGCTTCAGTCCATTCTTGGATTGTGCTCCTCAATATCTCCAGAGTGAAAGGAGAAGCTTTAGTTTCACTTGCAATACATCACATTTTTGCTGTGAGATGCAGCGTGAACCTGTAAAACCTCACTGAGCAGAAGCCTGGCAGGGTTATTATAGGTGGAGAGAGCAGATTTTCCATTTATTATATGTGGAGGAGAGCATTTTCCACTGCTACAGCAATTATTGATATCTGATAATCCCCTCCTGCTGGCTCCTTTCAGCCCTAACCTGTAGCTGAGTTGCTTCAATTCCTTTTTTGGAGACTTGCATTTCTGGATTTTCATAAACATCTCTTGCTGTGTCTTTCTACATTGTCTGGACTGAAGCAATATGGAAAATCTTGGGGGAAAACAAATGAGTCTGAGTGCCTTTTCTTGCATGCTTCTCTTGGAAGGGTCAGGCCAAGTTAATATTTGAAGAGAAACTGTTTGTTCACTTCCTTCATTACCTAAATATTCTGTTTCAAGACAAAATTGACAGATTGACTGCTGTCTACAGCTCTCATCCAGCTCCCTGGGTGCTGAACACGCTGACTTTTCATTTCATCACTGTGCAGCTCAGAAAAGCCCTTCCAGGGCTTAACACCTCTTTAATTACCAAGAAATCTCATGTTTCTAGACAAAAATTTGATGGACTTACTAGGGATGAGGAGAAATATCTATTAAATGTAAGAGATTATGAAATAAAGTCTTTGGAGAGCTTCCTAAACCTGCCCCATCCCTGCCAAGTGGCTGAGCTGCTCTGACCAGGCTGAGTGCTGGAGGAGCCAAAGGCATGTCCAAGGTGGAATTTTTAGTTGTTTTTGAATTTTTAACAACAACAACAACAACAACAACAAAGTGAAGCAGCAGCGAGGAAATCTCCATCCAACCATGTTACTCCAAAAGATTCAGACAAATATGTCTTCAGCATTTATCATCTATTTTAAAAACCCAGCCAAGCAGAAAGGGAGCCTCCAAGTACTACAATGAAATGTGGGGGAAGGAGGGTGGAATGGATGATGGCAGATGGGTTTTTAACTGACTGATGTGCTTGATTTGTTTAAGTCAACATGAGCAGGCATATTATAATTTCTTTTCTTGTTTGTCATTCTGCATCTGCAGCTAGGCAGGGGAGCAGTGTGGTAGGAGCTCTATAGTGGAAGAGGTGCAGCCCATCTTTCTCCTCACAGAGCTGGGAAATACTCTCATTTTCTAATTGCTGCTGTACAGAATGACAGAGGCTTATCAAGCATGCCAGTGGCTTTGAAAAGATGGCTTGGTTCTATTAAGAGCAAGCCTCTCTCTCTCTAATACACATAATTGTAAGCCTGCATTATACATTCAAAGGCAATGTTAAAAAAAAAAAGATTGCAGTTGATTGTCCTCAGGGAAAGGAATAGGTGGTGCTTCCAAAAGGAAGATAAGAAAAGAAGAGTAGAGATTCTGGCAATTAGGCTGGTTCTCCATGACCCTTTGCAATGGCTAAGGAGATAGAAATATCTATATCTCTATATCTCTATATCTCTATATATCTATATATCTATATATCATCTCTATATATCTATGTATCTATATATCTATATATCTATATTTTATCTATGGAAGTATAGATAAATGTATAGATATATCAATATATAAAGATATAGATATAGATATAGATGATATAGATATAGATTAGATATAGATATAGATATAGATATAGATATAGATATAGATATAGATATAGATATATTTGGTCTGTACTTCTTTTGTCAAAACCCAGGGAAGTTTACAGGTTTAAAACAGAGGCAAGTCAGCTGGTTTAAAAAGGAGACCACTCCTCAGTTAATAAAACTTTGATGTCGAATGATCACCTGTAGTTTTATTTTAAAGCACTGGATGTAAAATAGAAATAACGTCCAATGGAGAGAAGGGTTATACATGTTCTGGCCTGCAGCCAAAATACATCTCACAGCTGCTGAGGAAAAAAATAGCATTTTTTACTTCACTCTCCTGTACAGAAAACCCAAAAGTACCCCCAGAGCAGCTAGTGATGGTTGGAAAGCGAAAGGTGAGTTTACAAAGGAAATTATTTAAGTCCCTGCCTTTTTTCCTGCAAATAAAAACCAAAATCTGTCTGGCTGCCTGTTCCCAGCATTGCCAGGGAGCCACATGTCCAGTGAGCAACAGTCAGAGAGCACTGCAAAGTAATTCTCACTCAGAGCTTGGCCTGCAGGTCATATTTATTTTCACTTTAGAATCATGGAATCATTGAGGTTGGGAAAGACCTCCAAGATTGGTGAGTCCAGCCTGGGCTTGATCCCCGTTTTGTCACCCCAACCAGAGCAGTGAGTGCCACATCCAGGTGCTCCTTGGGCACCTCCAGGGGTGGGGATTCCCAGCACCTCCCTGGGAATATTTTAAATGAAGGTCAGGGGCTACTCTGGTACTGGTTTCCAGCTGTTCAGCTGTGGATTTTTCCAGCATCCTCCTGCTCTGACACCTCTTGGGTACAATGCCATGAGCCTGAGCCGTCAGAGGGGTGTGTTTTAAAACGTTACCTCCTGTCAGCTGAAGGGCTTTGGCTGGTCCTGTGTATATTCTTAACCTGTCCCAGTCGCAAGAAAAAATGGGGTAATTTATACCACTTTACTTCTCTCTCACTCTCTCACACTTCCCATTGTCGTGTTTGCCCAGCTCTGCCCTGGATTCTGCATTTTTATTTAATTACATCCTTTATTGCTGCCATCAGGAGATGGTGGGTAGTCTCCTGTTTCATTTTCTTCATGGTTTTTTTAGTCTTCCTTGTATCTTTGCTGAAAGCTAACACACACATACACACCAACAAACAACCTCCCATCCATCCTCCACAAAGTTCTTCTGGGGAACAGGAAATTTACTGGTATCCATTTCAAGATATCAGCTGAGGTTTCTTTCCCATTTTGTTCTGCTGGCTGTTAGTATAAAGAAGAAGATTACTATCCAGTGATTTTTTTGCTAAGACAGAAAATACCCAAAATGGACAAAATGTGGTCATCTGACTCTAATTTATTTCATTCCTATGGCCTGGCAGTCCATGGCCCAGCAACTCAGGGGCGTTATCAACACATAAAACCTGTGTAAAGCATCAATCCAGCACTGCACAAATCCAGGTGCATTTGACTGGCTTTCCAAACAGGAAGCACAAAGATTCAGATGGGTGAAAATATATTTGTATTGCTGAAAAGTGAACAAAATTTCACCTGTGAGCAGAAGACAGCCTCAGTCCCTGGGATGGTTTGGAAATGCTTGTTGCTGTCAGCTTGTGGCTGGGTTTTACAGGCACACTGTGCTGTGCTGTCCCCTCCCCTTGGGGCAGAGCTGTCCCAGGAATTAAGAGGAGCCCTGTGCTCATTTTGAGGGACTAGGGCTGTGATTGTCTCCCTCTACAGCAGATATTTATGGGGGTCACTGCCTTGCTCCCAAGCTCCCCAGCCAGCCTTGTCCTTTCCACCAGCAGAAGAACTCCTCTTGGCTGGGAACAGGGGGAAGAGACCCTGTCAGCCCTGTACCAGGGGTAGAAGAATATGAAAAATTGTCTGTTTCCATATCCAACACTTCAGAATTTTTCTTCTAATGTCCTTCCTTTTTTCCTTGTCCTTCTTTTTACTCCGTTTCTTCCTGCTTTTCATTCCTGCTTTTTCATTCCGGCTTTTCTTTCAGTGGTTGCTGTTGCAGTTTTTCCCTTTCTCCACCCGTTACCCCTGCCCACTGTGTTTCTCTCTCATTTTTCCTTTTACCTGCACATTTTCCTCTTTTTCTTTCCCAATCTTTCTGTTTCTGCTCCTTGATTATTTCTTTCCTTCCAGTGCTTTCCTCTGTTTTACACTCTCATCCCTCCACTGGCTCCCTCCCCCTAATCATCTTGCTGTTCTTTGCTGCTGTATCATTTAATGCCTTCTTTGATACAGCCCACAGCTTAATGATTATTCGGAGGTCAGGCGATGCAGGTGCCATGAATTTCACTAATCCAGCTCTGAGAGCCTCTGTCCATAATCACTCCTCCTGTTCTACAGGGGCTGAATCCTAATTTGTCATTAGCCAGTCCTCTCACTGCAGCACTACCAAGAACTTTTTGCCCAGAGGAGACAATGAAGTATTCATTAGCCAGGGGGGAGGTGGAGGGGAGGGAGCAGCGGCTGCACACAGGGCTCTGCTGAGGGCTGCTGAGAAAGGAGCCGCTGTAACCAGCTTTCCTGGGGCAGTGGGAAGGGGGGAAAAGGGGGAACAAGGCAACGTGGCAAGTGGGTTGTGCAAAAAAAGTGAACGTGGGCTGCAGTGTCATTTTCTAGGAGTCGTTCCAGGGCTGCAGGATGTGGGGTTGAAAGTGCTGATCCAGCAGCTGTGGGAGTGGTGGGGCTCAGGGGTGGGTGAGCGGGGCTGATTTTAAGGAAGAGACTTCAAGAAGTGATTAATTAGCAGAAGACTTTTGGGTTTTTTTTTTAAGGAGGAATAGTTTTAGCAGCTTTGTCTCTAAGCATCCTGGCTTCCACCTTCTTTTCTACTGTTCTGAGCTCATAAGCAGAGGTTGCTGCTTGCTTTGCTTGTCCTGTTGTGGGTCTGTGTTTTAGAGGGTGGTGCCAATTGCCAATGACATGAAGAGCAGTTTCCTCCTGCTAGACTGGGAGTTCTGCTGCCCTTGTGGTGTCCTGATAGCCCCACAGACTCTGGCATGGCTTTATCAGCTCCATTCCCATGTCAGTAGAGCCCTGCTGGGATCCTTGGCAGGACACAGTGCCTGTCTTGGCTCCTGGTGCAGAGTGAAGATAGAGAGCTCAGGTGAGCATTTCCAACTGGTGGCAATTTCTTAGAAGGATTTTGCTCATCACCAGAGGAGTAAACAGCAGATGAAAGATTCAGTCTAGAAATAGACTGGAATAGCTCCCAGATGCCACGGCAGGGTATTGATGTTCCGAGAGCTCTGCCTCAGACATATCCCTGAAAACACTGTAGCTCCAGCAAGATGCCAACACTGATTCCCTGTGAGGCCTTACAGCGCTAATTCTTCCTCCTCCTCACCTGCAGGACGATACAGGAATGGCTTACCCGAGTCCAGTCCCTGCTCTACTGCAATGAGAACGGGTTCTGGGGGACGTTTCTGGAAAGCCAGCGGAGCTGTGTTTGCCACGGTGGCACCAGTCTGTGCCAGCGCCCCATCCCCTGCATCATCGGGGGCAACAACAGCTGTGCCATGTGCAGCCTTGCCAACATCTCCCTCTGCGGCTCGTGCAACAAGGGCTACAAGCTTTACCGAGGCCGCTGCGAGCCCCAGAACGTGGACTCGGAGCGGAGCGAGCAGTTCATCAGCTTTGAGACAGACTTGGACTTCCAGGACCTGGAGCTGAAGTACCTGCTGCAGAAGATGGACTCCCGCCTGTACGTGCACACCACTTTCATCAGCAACGAGATCCGCCTGGACACCTTCTTCGACCCGCGGTGGCGCAAGCGCATGTCCCTCACCTTGAAGAGCAACAAGAACCGGATGGACTTCATCCACATGGTGATCGGGATCTCCATGCGCATCTGCCAGATGCGCAACAGCAGCCTGGACCCCATGTTCTTTGTCTACGTCAACCCGTTCAGCGGGAGCCACTCGGAGGGCTGGAACATGCCCTTCGGGGAGTACGGCTACCCGCGCTGGGAGAAAATCCGCCTCCAAAACAGCCAGTGCTACAACTGGACCCTGCTGCTGGGCAACCGGTGGAAAACCTTTTTTGAGACTGTCCACATCTACCTACGCAGCCGGACTCGGCTGCCCTCCCTCCTGCGCAACGAGACTGGCCAAGGGCCCGTGGACCTTTCCGACCCCACCAAGCGCCAGTTCTACATCAAGATCTCAGACGTGCAGGTCTTCGGCTACAGCCTGCGCTTCAACGCGGACCTCCTGCGCAGCGCGGTGCAGCAGGTCAACCAGTCCTACACGCAGGGCGGGCAGTTCTACTCCTCCTCCTCCGTCATGCTCTTGCTGCTGGATATTCGGGACCGAATCAACCGCCTGGCGCCTCCGGTGGCCCCGGGGAAGCCGCAGCTGGATCTGTTCTCGTGTATGCTCAAGCACCGCCTGAAGCTGACCAACAGCGAGATCATCCGAGTGAACCACGCCCTGGACCTGTACAACACCGAGATCCTCAAACAGTCCGACCAGATGACAGCCAAACTCTGCTAACCCCTGGACTTAGCAATGGACACTTTGGTGATTGATCCTTTTGCTGTATAAAAAAAAAAAAAAAAAAAAGAAAAATAAAACAAACGAACGAACGAACGAAAAAAAAAACCCACAAAAAAAAAAAGAAAAAAAAAAAAGAAAAAAGAGAAAGAGGAAAAAAAAGTAAAAAAGGAAGAAGTAAAAGTGGGGGGAAAGAAAAGGGGAAAAATAAGATTTGTAAAATGTAATTAATATACAAAAGAGGAAAAAAAAAAAGAGGAAATTCTTCATTTGTTGAAAACTAAACCCGTTCTAGCCGCTGTATAAGACTGTCAGGCATGTTTGTTATTTCTATAATCCGTCATAAAAGGGTAACACCGTACTCTCTCTTGACCTTGGGGGTGTTGCTTGTGAGTCCTCAGGGGCAGCAGAGGAAATAAAGGGAGGACCAGAGAGAGGGGCAAACTTCTGTACTGAACTGTCAAGTTTTCTGCTATGCAGGTGCCAAGACAAAGAGACATACAGAAAAAAAAAATCAAAGCAAACAAACAAACAAACAGAGTTATATGTAAATGTAAAAGAGCTACCATTATTCCTATAGTGGGAGTAAATGGTTAAAGATAAAAGATATTTCTTCTGTTGAGATTTATGCCAGCTCTATGTTGAGTTATTCCTGCAGCCTGTGCTGAGCTTTGCTGGAGGACAGGAGGGGATGGCAGCCCTTGGGGGCTACAACTGATGAGTTTTCTCACCTCCTTGGTGAGACCACACAGAAAAGGTGGAGGGTGGGTGCAGGGCTCAGGTGTCCTCCCTTTGGGATTTCCATCTTGGAAGACATTTCACCAGAGGTAGAGACTCAGCAGATGCTGGAAAATGGGATGTGTTGGGTTTCTTAGCTTGACCTGCAGTTTGTGCCCTGCCCTGGGCTGGTGCTGCCTTCAGAGGTGCCAGAGGAGGAGCAGCACCTGTAAATCTTCCCTCACTCATCTTTCAGACCCTTCTAGATAGTCCCTAAATCAGAGAAAGCCAAAATCATAAAGGCAAAGCTGAGTTTGTCTTTCTGCCTCAGGTGCTGGGTTTTCCAATAGCACGGGGTAACCCTCATCAACACAAAAACTAAAGCACAATGCAAGGGAATACATTTCCAAGGAAACCTGGAGACACTGAAGGGTACATAGGTCATCTCTGTTCACTGGGAAAGGAAAAAAATCCTTTTTACTTTCTTATGTTTCTGTGGCTGTGAATAATATCCTTGTCTCACTTACACTTTGTCCACAAAAAAAAAAAAAAAATATATAGCAAATATATGAGAACATTTTATTAAAATATATGCAAAATTAGTAAAAGGGAGGGGTGGGAGGGAAGAGCACAACAACCAAACATATCCTGAGTTTGCAAGGATAAAGCCAAATTAAAAAAATTGAGTTATCAAAAAAATACTAAAATAACCAAAAGGTGGGTAAAATTTTTTTGAATGTGTGGGGACATGTGTTTGGATTTAAACAAAAAGTAGGATGTTGAATGGACTGTGTGAATGAAGGATCATCTGAGCTGGGTGATGAAGTCTGAACACTGTGGGAGGTGAGTAGTGAGGTGTTTCTCTTAATTTCACTGTTTTTTTTTAGTTGAGGTTGATTGAGAAGTGCTAGTGAGAGACTGGAATTCCTGCCCGCTCAGAAAGGGAGATAAAAATAAATCTCTGATCCTGATGGCTTCCAGAGCTGGAGGAGCATCCTGGGGAAAACGGGTCTGAGCAAGGGGCACAGTCCTGATCCAAAGACCAAGATTCAGGTCTGGCTCAAGATTTAACGTGTTGGTTCAACAGAGTTCAAAATAGTCTTGTAGGAATTTTGACTTTATTTGAAGACTTTGGCTGAGATTCTGAGAGTAACATCAGTTCATGCATTGCGGTAGTGGTCATGCGGTGCCAGGGGCTTGAGCTATTAAGGCTGGTTTCAGATTTAATTTCTATGATTTAGGTTGTTCTCATCCAAATTTCCTGAGAAGAAACTGGATAGCTTAAGGAAAATATACATTCACTGAACTCTCCTGCTGAGCTACCAATTGAGGGCATAAGAAAAGCAATTTGGATAATCAGAAAAACCCCAAAAAGGGGAATTAGTCACCAAAGTCTGACATCAGAAGAAGAACTGGGTGAATTAAACAGCGAGGATATTTTTAGGGATATTTCCTTTAGTGGGAGCTTTTTTTCCCTACCTTGGATCAAGATCTCTCTCTCACCTGGGCAGTCCACACAAGAGGCCTTGGGCTGCCCATTTTTCCCAGTGTTTGTTTTTCATTTGCTTGGTCTTTGCTTTGTGTAGCAGAAAATCATATTAGACCTCACCATTCCAAGAGTGTTCTTTATAGATGTGACATTTCTGCCTCAGCTTTCTGATAAGAGAACATTTGGCAGCAATCGTATGCATGGAGGTGAGTTTTAAGCAAATAGTAGAGAGTATTCATGGGAAATGAATGTCAAATTTGTAATTATCAGTAGAAATAATGTTCCTGACAGTTACATCCATCTAAGCAGGGAATAGAAATGTACTGTTTAAATTACATGTATGACCCAAAGAGCTGACACTTGAAAGAACTATGGTTATAGCTCTAAAAATACTGACTGCTGCCTGAGCTGCAGCCTGCATGCAATGATGGGATTTGCTCGTGGCTGGGAATAGTGGCTGTGCCAACACAGAGTGAAATTAATTCGATAAATTCTTTCCTTTGAGATAAGAATCCAGGTCTAGTGAGTGGAAGCCAAAGAAGCTGCAATTAAATCTCAGATCTCGTGGGTAACTAGCAGCACATTACCTAAATCTTGCCTGGTGTTTGTGGCACTGGTAGGGATCAAATCAATTGCCCTCATGTATCTTTAATGATGCCTTGGGATGAGCAGCCCCCAGCATTTACTGCCTTCAGCAATGGGGGCAGCTCCATAAACCTTAAGAAAGGTTTTGGGTGCCAACACAACATTAAATCCTGGCTGGATTTAACAGCAAGTGCGTGCTGAGAGAGGCACGTGAGTTAACATTCCCATCGTGGCTGGGGAGCAGTGCAGGGACAGGGAAGGAGTTTTGGCACAGCCGTGCTGTCAGCATATGGAACTCACCTTGGGAGTACCTGATGGTGCACCTGGAAATGGTGGCACATCAACACCATAAAGTGCAGCCACGTTCCAACGTGGCTGCATCAAATTTTGTGTAGGAATGCAGCAAAAATGTCAAGAAGAAACTCCCATGTCCTTCAAGGTAGGGAAAGTGAAGTTATTTGGCAGCTCAACCACCGTTTTGGGCTCACTGAGAAAATGGAAAATAACCCCAAACAAGCCAATCAAATGTGGATGATTGCTTTTGATGCTAGGAAATAAATTAAACAGGGCACATGCTGTGCTTCCACTGCTCAGTCCCAAAACCCTTCCCCAGGCAAGGGGCAGTCTGTGACAGCCAGATCCAGAAACATCCCCCGGGTTTGGTTTGGGGGATTTGTTCTGCAGGCAATAGGAGATGTGGAGGCATCTGACATCTGCTGCAGCAAGAGAAAGCAGTTCAGACCCCCAGAGAGGCCACACCAGTGCTCCAGTGGGGTGAATGGGCTCCAGAGGAAATGATGGCCATAAAAACGTGTTTGACAGGACAATGACTGGAATGGAGGGCAATTAACTGAGCAGAATTAGGTGGGAGCCAGAGAAACCCTTCACCATAAAGCTCAACTCACTAACCTGCATGCTCAGTGGGCATTGCTGCAGAGTTTAATGATTAAAGGGATGTTCAGACTCTCAAGTCAGAGTAACCATCCTCTGACTGTATGAGAACAAAACCCAGCTTCCTTCCTTGGCATGAGAAGGAGTTAGGGAGCAATCCATCAGATTGTCCAGCTCAGCTAATAGAGATGCTCCTACCAATTCAGGACAGATACTTGTCCCTTGATGTCGTTAAATTCGGCACTACATGAAAGCTGGAGGTTCCAAATAACCTAGAGAAAAAAAAAGAAAAGTCAATTCCAGGTGTCCCAAAGCCAAAGCAAGGAAAAAGCAACAGGTAGGGCAGAATCCTGCTTCCCTTCAGATGCAGAAGACTTCTGGGACCATTTTCCTCCAGTCACATGACAGAAATTCATTGGGAGCGTCCTAAGAAATCTGCTCTTTTCAAATTATTCAAATTTAGACTCACCAGCCGGTGTGGCAGAAAGCAGGAGACGTCAGCAAGTCTTATTAACATGCTGATGCCATGGCTTCAGGAGTGTGCAGAATGTCCATTTGGATCAGGGCTAAGAGCACAGCATGAAGTTGCCATGGAAACGTAGGGAGGCCATTAATTAGCTATCACATGGAATCATCAGGAAGAATCTGGACCTCAGCAGCTTTGGCCTCCTCAGAGGCAAAGGGCACAGCCCCAGACACCCCCCCAGTCAGGCCCAGTGACCACTGCACAGCTGCAGGAACAGCCTCATGCTGGAGAAGAAATCTCCTCTTGAAGGGATGAGAAGCAGGTGGGCAAGAAATGGGAGGGGGCAACAAGCAGAGAAATAAAGGATGGAGATAATTCCCCTTTTTCTTGCCCCTTCCCTTCCCTTCCCTTCCCTTCCCTTCCCTTCCCTTCCCTTCCCTTCCCTTCCCTTCCCTTCCCTTCCCTTCCCTTCCCTTCCCTTCCCTTCCCTTCCCTTCCCTTCCCTTCCCTTCCCTTCCCTTCCCTGGAAGCCTGGCTGCTCCTGCATAGAAGAACACAAGAGATCTGCTGCTTTTTGAGCTGACAAGGCTCATGCCAGTGCTCCCTTGAAGACATCAAGAGCAGCCCCAAGGCCCTGGCAAATCCAATTAAGGGAGTTTGCATCCTCTTGGGTGGGCTGCACCTGGGATGAGGGAACTCCAGTGCTCCCTAAAGCCATCCTGCTCCCTAAAGCCAGCTCAGGCCATGCTAAACCAGGAATCCCTTTCCCCAAAGAGAAGCATGGGCAAGTAAGAGAGACTTCTTGGCCACTTGCCCAGCCTCCCTTCAGAGCCAGAATCCTGTAAGCAAGCTGTGATGGACTTCAGCTGCCATGGATGGGATGTTCTTTTCAGCTCTTTAGCCCACTTGCTAAAACAGGGCTCGGGAGGA